CCATAAGAAATATTGAGAAAACTCGAGTTAGAATTATTAATCTTAATTTTTCGGCCATATATATATTGATATATATATATATATATATATATATATATATATATATATATATATATATATATATATATATATATATATATATATATATGTGTGTGTGATTATGCACAACTGGCATATATATATATATATATATATATATATATATATATATATATATATATATATATATATATATATATATATATATATATGTCGTACCTAGTAGCCAGAACGCACTTCTCAGCCTACTATGCAAGACCCGATTTGCCTAATAAGCCAAGTTTTCCTGAATTAATATATTTTCTCTAAATTTTTTTTTATGAAATGTGAAAGCTACCCATTTCATTATGTACGAGGTCAATTTTTTTTTTATTGGAGTTAAAATTAACGTAGATATATGACCGAACCTAACCAACCCTACCTAACCTAACCTAACCTATCTTTATAGGTTAGGTTAGGTTAGGTAGCAAAAAAAGTTAGGTTAGGTTAGGTTAGGTAGGTTAGGTAGTCGAAGAACAATTAATTCATGAAAACTTGGCTTATTAGGCAAATCGGGCCTTGAATAGTAGGCTGAGAAGTGAGTTCTGGCTATTAGGTACGACATATATATATATATATATATATATATATATATGTCGTACCTAGTAGCCAGAACTCACTTCTCAGCCTACTATTCAAGGCCCGATTTGCCTAATAAGCCAAGTTTTCCTGAATTAATATATTTACTATAATTTTTTTCTTATGAAATGATAAAGCAACCCTTTTCTCTATGTATGAGGTCAATTTTTTTTTATTGGAGTTAAAATTAACGTAGATATATGACCGAACCTAACCAACCCTACCTAACCTAACCTAACCTATATTTATAGGTAAGGTTAGGTTAGGTAGCCAAAAAAAACTAGGTTAGGTTAGGTTAGGTAGGTTAGGTAGACGAAAAAACATTAATTCATGAAAACTTGGCTTATTAGGCAAATCGGGCCTTGAATAGTAGGCTGAGAAGTGCGTTCTGGCTATTAGGTACGACATATATATATATATATATATATATATATATATATGTCGTACCTAGTAGCCAGAACGCACTTATCAGCCTACAATGCAAGGCCCGATTTGCCTAATAAGCCAAGTTTTCATGAATTAATATGTTTTCTCTATTTTTTTCTTACGAAATGATAAAGCTACCCATTTCATTATGTATGAGGTCAATTTTTTTTAATGGAGTTAAAATTAACGTAGATATATGATCGAACCTAACCAACCCTACCTAACCTAACCTAACCTATCTTCATAGGTTAGGTTCGGTTAGGTAGCAGAAAAAGTTAGGTTAGGTTAGGTTAGGTAGGTTAGGTAGTCGAAAAACAATTAATTCATGAAAACTTGGCTTATTAGGCAAATCGGGCCTTGCATAGTAGGCTGATAAGTGCGTTCTGGCTACTAGGTACGACATATATATATATATATATATATATATATATATATATATGGTATAATGAAATATATATATATATATATATATATATATATATATATATATATATATATATATATATATATATATATATATATATATATATATATACATACTTCTATATATATATATATATATATATATATATATATATATATATATATATATATATATATATATATATATATATATATATATATATGTGTGTGTGTGTGTGTGTGTGTGATTAATGCACAACTGGCATATATATATATATATATATATATGTCGTACCTAGTAGCCAGAACTCACTTCTCAGCCTACTATTCAAGGCCCGATTTGCCTAATAAGCCAAGTTTTCCTGAATTAATATATTTACCATAATTTTTTTCTTATGAAATGATAAAGCAACCCTTTTCTCTATGTATGAGGTCAATTTTTTTTTATTGGAGTTAAAATTAACGTAGATATATGACCGAACCTAACCAACCCTACCTAACCTAACCTAACCTATATTTATAGGTAAGGTTAGGTTAGGTAGCCAAAAAAAAGCTAGGTTAGGTTAGGTTAGGTAGGTTAGGTAGACGAAAAAAACATTAATTCATGAAAACTTGGCTTATTAGGCAAATCGGGCCTTGCATAGTAGGCTGAGAAGTGCGTTCCGGCTATTAGGTACGACATATATATATATATATATATATATATATATATATATATATATATATATATATATATATATATATATATATATATATATATATTTATATATATATACCCATATATATATTTATATATATATATATTTATATATATATATGTCGTACCTAGTAGCCAGAACTCACTTCTCAGCCTACTATTCAAGGCCCGATTTGCCTAATAAGCCAAGTTTTCCTGAATTAATATATTTACTATATTTTTTTTCTTATGAAATGATAAAGCAACCCTTTTCTCTATGTATGAGGTCAATTTTATGTTATTGGAGTTAAAATTAACGTAGATATATGACCGAACCTAACCAACCCTACCTAACCTAACCTAACCTATATTTATAGGTAAGGTTAGGTTAGGTAGCCAAAAAAAGCTAGGTTAGGTTAGGTTAGGTAGGTTAGGTAGACGAAAAACATTAATTCATGAAAACTTGGCTTATTAGGCAAATCGGGCCTTGAATAGTAGGCTGAGAAGTGAGTTCTGGCTACTAGGTACGACATATATATATATATATATATATATATATATATATATATATATATATATGTCGTACCTAATAGCCAGAACGCACTTCTCAGCCTACTATTCAAGGCCCGATTTGCCTAATAAGCCAAGTTTTCATGAATTAATTTTTTTTCGTCTACCTAACCTACCTAACCTAACCTAACCTAGCTTTTTTTGGCTACCTAACCTAACCTTACCTATAAATATAGGTTAGGTTAGGTTAGGTAGGGTTGGTTAGGTTCGGTCATATATCTACGTTAATTTTAACTCCAATAAAAAAAAATTGACCTCATACATAGAGAAAAGGGTTGCTTTATCATTTCATAAGAAAAAATTATAGTAAATATATTAATTCATGAAAACTTGGCTTATTAGGCAAATCGGGCCTTGAATAGTAGGCTGAGAAGTGAGTTCTGGCTACTAGGTACGACATATATATATATATATATATATATATATATGTCGTTCCTAGTAGCCAGAATGCACTTCTCAGCCTACTATGCAAGGCCCGATTTGCCTAATAAGCCACGTTTTCATGAATTAATTGTTTTTCGACAACCTAACCTACCTAACCTAACCTAACCTAACTTTTTCGGCTACCTAACCTAACCTAGCCTATGAAGATAGGTTAGGTTAGGTTAGGTAGGGTTGGTTAGGTTTGGTCATATTTCTACGTTAATTTTAACTCCAATAACAAAAAATTGACCTCATACATAATGAAATGGGTAGCTTTATCATTTCATAAGAAAAAAATTAGAAAAAATATATTAATTCAGGAAAACTTGGCTTATTAGGCAAATTGGGCCTTGCATAGTAGGCTGAGAAGTGCGTTCTGGCTACTAGGTACGACATATATATATATATATATATATATATATATATATATATATATATATATATATATATATATATATATATATATGTCGTACCTAGTAGCCAGAACGCACTTCTCAGCCTAATATGCACGGCCCGATTTGCCTAATAAGCCTAGTTTTCATGAATTAATTGTTTTTCGACTACCTAACCTACCTAACCAAACCTAACCTAACTTTTTCGGCCACCTAACCTAACCTAACCTATAAAGATAGGTTAGGTTAGGTTAGGTAGGGTTGGTTAGGTTCGGTCATATATCTACGTTAATATTAACTCCAATAAAAAAATTTACCTCATACATAATGAAATGTGTAGCTTTATCATTTCATAAGAAAAAAATTAGAGAAAATATATTAATTCATGAAAACTTGGCTTATTAGGCAAATCGGGCCTTGCATAGTAGGCTGAGAAGTGCGTTCTGGCTATTAGGTACGACATATATATATATATATATATATATATATATATATATATATATATATATATATATATATATATATATATATGTCGTACCTAGTAGCCAGAACGCACGCCTCAGCCTACTATGCAAGGCCCGATTTGCCTAATAAGCCAAGTTTTCATGAATTAATTGTTTTTCGACTACCTAACCTACCTAACCTAACCTAACCTAACTTTTTCGGCTACCTAACCTAACCTAACCTATAAAGATAGTTTAGGTTAGGTTAGGTAGGGTTGGTTAGGTTCGGTCATATAACTACGTTAATTTTAACTCCAATAAAAAAAAATTGACCTCATACATAATGAAATGGGTAGCTTTATCATTTCATAAGAAGAAATTAGAGAAAATATGTTAATTCAGGAAAACTTGGCTTATTAGGCAAATTGGGCCTTGCATAGTAGGCCGAGAAGTGTGTTCTGGCTAATAGGTACGACATATATATATATATATATATATATATATATATATATATATATATATATATATATATATATATATATATATATATATATATATATATGCACAACTTGCCTAAACACGCAAGTGAAGTTTTTACAACTTTAGAACACTTTCCCAACAGTAGACTCGAACTTTAACCAGCACAGAAGCCTCGCAGCAACTGGCTAACAGGTTCGCCTTTAACCCACTGCACCAAACTCAGACCCCTTAGAGATGGTAGTTTCAGGGTATTTAAACCCCCAAAGATCACCACCTCCCTAGGGCAACTAGAGCTAGTGAGGGGTTACTCACGTTCTTTCATCAAGTCCCTGTTAATATGGGAGAACTCTGTGTCTATGATTAATGCACAACTTGCCTAAACATGCAATTGAAGTCCCATGGACAAGGTATAGGGACACGAAGACAGTGACCCCCACGTACCAAACACAGAAAGACAGGGACAAGAATACAGTACCCTCCATGTACCAAGGACAGAAAGACAGGGACAGGAAGACAGTAACCTCCACGTACCATGAACAGAAAGACGGGAACCAGAACCAGCGAGGCCATGACTGATGCCCACACCTTGTCTGTCAGAGGAGAGTAAAGACTCTGCCAATTAGATATGAGCGATGGTGTTGCCATTGTGAACGAAAAAGCATTATGTTGATAGCTGTATGTGTAATCATACAGCAGTAGGCGCTGTGGCAACTGTATGTGGTTGATAGCAGCCATGAAGGAGGCCCTCTCTGACACCAAGTCTGTCACCTGTACATAAGGTTTTCACAATTCTAGATACCAAATTTTGCTTAAATGTTCTTTTTTAAAAAGTCTTAACAAATGTTTAAAATATTCAATATCACAAATTATTTAATTTAGATATTTTAAGTAGTTTAATACTATGTGATTCGTGACAGTAAATAACTGAATCAAATGGTGGAAAAATTGCTGTGAAATGGCAATGTGAAATTTATTATTTCACACATTATTTTGTGTTTCAGCGTATCAATTTTGTAATGTAGGAAACAACTTTGTAACTGCAGAATACAAATGAACAGACCTGGTCCCAAGTGGTCACGGGAAGGACATTATATGTAAAGTTGAGGGCTTCAGCTATAGTCATGAGCATCTGGACGTCACTACCAGAGTACCTGGTTACACCGCTTTGGTCCTCCGTCTCACTCCAGTATGGTTTATATGGCAGAGCTGTCACGTTGATTGTGGTTCTGCAAAAGCTGAAAGATCATTAATTAAAACTTGTGTTTTAAATTCTGTAAGGTATTGGGAATTTAAAGCAGAAAAGGTGAAAAGTGCAAATCAATTACTTTTCACTACAAAGAACATTCCTAAAGATGTTTCAAGTTGCACTGTTTATGGTATGATTGGTTTAAATTATATCGATAATGGCTCATGCAGTACAATATATAAATTTGTGGATGACACTTCATTAGGAAGCAAAGTTAGATCACCAACAGGGCTACAGAGATTACTTCCGACATACCAAATTTGTCTAACAAATGGTAGGTGCATTTTATTGCTGACCGATATGTAACGTAATAGTGCGGACAGTCTCCGTGGTGTAGTGGTAAGACACTCGCCTGGCGTTCCGCGAGCGCTTTGTCATGGATTCGTATCCTGGCCGGGGAGGATTTGCTGGCGCAAATCCTTAACTGTATCCTCTGTTTAACCCAACAGTAAAATGTGTACTTGGTTGTAACAACGATTCTTTGCGGCGGGGATCGTATTCCAGGGACCTGCCCGAAACGCTACGCGTACTAGTGGCTCTACAAGAATGTAACAACTCTTGTATATATCTCAAAAAAAAAAATAATACATATTTGACACAAAAATTAAACAGAAGTTACAGGATGAAGAAGACGGCATTGATGAAGGTAAATGAAGAGAGAAGCCTGGCTGTGATGGAGGCTGCGGATGTGAAGCCTAGTAGGCAGTTCACTGAGCTGTAAACACTCCCCATGGAATATTAGGTTCCATTCTTAGAGCTTGCAAGTTTCGACTGAAGTTATTCTCAGTCCGTACAGTTCACTGCTTCACTGGAATATTGTATACATTTGTGGTTGCAGGTCTTTATAAATAGTATTTCTGAAGATTGGGTGTTCTGCATCGATCAACAGACAATATACTAAGACTTAAAAGTAGATGAAACTAAGCCAACTTAGAAAAAAAAATATTAAATTGATAACTGTGAATAATAGGAAGTTAATTCTATCGTGTATTTAAGCTCATTAAAAACAAGACAAAACTGACTCGCATGATTACTTAAATTTTGTATATCTTACCTCGCTTGAATTTAATGCCTATAAAATTTAAGGCAAACTTTTCCAGTCAAAGGAAGGAAAATAAGTTTCTTTAATCAAATAGTAAACATGTGGAACAATTTATCAAGTGTTATAATTCAGTGTAATTCCATGTATGTATTGGTAAAGAAAATGGACACTTACGTCTCTTCAAATCAATGCCTTAAATTGTTTGTATCTCAATAAGCTTTCCATAAATTAATAGCCTAGTTCAGATTCAATGAACTGCGGCTGTTTTAATTTATTCCATTCTTTTGACACATTGCAACTTGATTCTATAGTTTAAGTTGGAGGGAATGGTCTTTATGTGTATCAAAGTTGTTATCTAACTGTACCATGGCAATGACTAGCAATCTATTCAATATGGCTTTTTCACTAAATCTGTCCTCTGGAATAGACACTGTAATTTGATGTGAAAACCCCGCATGAACAAATATAGGGGTACTATAAACCATAATGGCTCACAAACTTTCACCTTTTTTATGTATGGTCGTAAGATAAGATAAGGAAGGTCTGGCTAAGTTAGGTTAGGTTAGGCTTGGTTAGGTTAGGTTAGGCTTGATTAGGTTCTAGTGTTTTAGTACACTATGTTCTGTCCATTGTAGGACCTCGAGAGGATGGAACAAACAAGTTAATTGTGATGTTATCATAAAGTACAAATTAAAAGGTATATATTTAGCAGGCCATCCTCCAATAATTATAGTACTTAATGCAACTATTTGGTTAAATGTGAAAAAATGGACAGTGGAGCTATAAATGTTCGCGTTTGTATTATTGAATTTGCCCGAAATTGCACGCTATGAAAACTTAAAAATAACTAAAGAACCTTGCTAAATCTAAGCAATCCTAGGCCTAATTTATTCTGACTGTGATAAAAATTACCAGGATTCTGATAATAGCAGGATGGTTGTGATAATTAGCATTGTGCTGTATGATGGGAGGAGTTATCCTGAGGGAGGGAGGGAGGTAGCATCATCGTCTGACTCTACGTGTCCACCTTTTATTGTCTGGATTCACCATACCAGCTTAGTGGTTAGCTATGGTGAACACAAATGTAGGTAATTATACATAACGTGTGCATAGAGTGTAATAACGGCAACAGGTGAATGTTGGGAGCATCCATTTTGGATTTTGGTGAGGGAGGTGGCATCGTCTGCATGACATGTCATGCTGTGTATTGGTGGCCACTATGCTCTTTGGGCACCATACAAGCTTAGTTGTACAGTTATGGTGAATAAAACATGTAGATGCTTATATATAATGTGTATATATAGTGTAATAACACCACAAACAGTATTGTAGGGGGAGAAGTTTTTAGTGTGTCTGGCCTTAAACCAGTGAGGGTGGCAGCCGCTAGCTTGTGTGTTGTTATCTCTCTTATTGCCTGAACTCACCATTCCAACTTAGTTGTTCAGTTATGGGGACCAAAACATGTAGATACTTATATATAACGTCTGTATATAGTGAATAAAAGCAAAAACGGTATGGTGGGAGGAGTGTTGGTGAATGACGGTGAGTGGGTGGCTGCCACTCCTCATTGCTTTTTGACTCACCATAACAACTTAGTGGTTCGTTATGGTGAACAAAACATACAGATACTTATATATAGCCTGTGAATATAGTGTAATAACAACAAAACTATATAATTATTGTTTTATGAACATAATAAATGAATCAATAATATGCACACAATACTTCTGAGTATAGCGATGATTCACACTACACACTATTGAATAATATTACAGCAAAAAAAATCAATCAGAGACATTGAAAAAATTAGATAATGATAGCTTTGTGGCAACTCCCGCCTGACAGATCGACTGGAGCAGAACGCCTCAGTGGAACTAATAAGTCGGCGGATTGACGTTTGGACTTGAGAATATCTAACTTCTCTTAGAGAGTATCATTACGGAGTAAGTAGCCCCTATAACAAAATTAACCTAAACCCTGGTGATATTATTCTGGTTGACAATGACGGAGGACCATGCTCAGAGTGGCCTATAGGCAGAATAGTGTCTGTTCATCCAGACAACCAGAATATCTTGAGAATAGTGAAAGTCAAGTGACAAGGCACTACTACTCCTGAAACTTTAGAAAAACTATTTCCTCTGGAGTTAGCAGGAAATGAAGTCATTCAAAGACCAAACCCAGGAAACTATTTTGGGTTGCCACAATGTTCTGGAAAGTGTTTGAAGGCAGTGGCAACGTTTGTTTTCACGTATTAGCTGTTACGTACTCCTAGCAGAATACGTATATAAATTTAAAATAACTTGTTTTGTTCTATTATATCATTGCCTGTATATGTACACACATTGTGTTTTTGGTAAATTATCGTGTGGTGTGGCAGCGTCAGTGGAGACAGGAGCGCGGTTGCTTTGCACACGTCTAATACCTGTTAGATTCGGGAAGTTGGACCTGTTCAGTTGGGAGTTACAGATGTCACTTTTATTTAGTATATATAATTGTTTATTTTCTGTAATTAAACAGGTGGCATTGTACTTATATATTTTGTAAGTAACTATTATATGTAATTTGCAGTCTTATGTGTTTTGAGAACAAGTGGTTGTTCAATTAGTTTTAAATATTAAAAAGTCCTTAGTTTCCATCCCTCATCCTGGATGAGGCAGACGGGAGAGGATTATGGGTAGCGACAGAGCGAGAGTTCAGTAGCTTCACGGGACTCGAGGAAATAACATGTGGGAGATAAGTCTGTTTACTTCTTGTTGTGCCATATTTTATTATTCTATATTAGGAGAAGGACAATACCTTTTGTTTGTTGTATAAGTTAACTTGACCATCTGTGTTTTTATATTATACTGTCTTGAATATATATCTATATAATATTTTGTATCTATTCTTCAGTCCTAAAGGAAGATTTTTATTTATGTGCTCATTACTTATCAAGGGGTTATACTGGTGACCCGCTCTTGAGAACAGCAGTTTTCTCGTATCCCTAGACGTAATTAAAGCTTGGCTGCTGTAGGGTCACGAGCCGTAACGAACAATAGGTAACAAGAGTTATGGGGGCCTGTGCCGGGAAATATTGTTCCCACTTAACCTTAATTATGCTAATCTAACCTTGCCTTCCTAGGTACCAGTGTGTTAGGTGTCTGTGTGTTTTATAAGAACTATTCCATGTGCCAAGCAAGCCTTCCTGTGTGTCAAGTAACAACGTTTCACGATTTTGAGGTAAGTCATCCTATATATTGTTTGTGCAGTGAGGCCAAGCGAATTTTCAGTGTGGTGACAATTTTACAGTGAAGTGTAGTGCAGTGCCATTGTTTTAATTATTGTTGTGAATCAAGTGCCAAGTGTTAGTAACGATGGAGGAGAAAGTTGCAGCGTTGGTGGCTCACCCAGACTTTGAAGGGATTCAGAGCCTGAAAAAGACTGAGTTAATACAAATGGCAAATCAGTTGGATTTGACCGCCAACAATAGAATGGTTAAAGCCCAAATATTGAAAGTCATTGTGACACATTTTGTTGAGAATGGAGAGTTAGAGGAAGAAATTCTAGAGGAGTTAAGAGAGGAGTCGAGTGATCAGATGACGTTAAAGCGTCTTGAGTTAGAAGCGCAAATAGCCAATGCTAAGTTTGAAGCTCAAAAAGAACAGAAAATATTAGAGGCTGAAGCTCGTCAAAGAGAGATTGAAGCTCAACAGCAACAGTAAATATTAGAGGCTGAAGCTCAGCAAAGGGAGCTTGAGACTAGACGTTTAGAGGTTATGGCACAGTTGCAACTAGAAGCCACAAAGAAGCAACAAGCCGAGGAACAAACTAGGCAATTAGAGATTCAACAACAAATGGCTGACACTAACTTCAGGCTTGAAACACAGCGTATGGCAGCTGGGCATGGAAATACTAGTAATGTTTCAACAAATAGTGATAATAATCCCATAAGGATGAATAAGTATATA